GCCAACTCGGCGCTATACGCCTCGTTGGCTATCTATCACCCATATCCAACGCGCGCTGGTGGAATAATTGTTAAATATACTTTAACAATATGTGAAATGCCTTTGTAATTCTGTACTTCATCTTATTACAGGTCTGTTTCATTCGTGTTCAGAAATCTACAAAAGTCGAAGGTACATCAAAATTGATCATTTTTTTAAGCTTAGGGTAAGGGTTAGGTTAGAAAAACGCTAGCCAGTGGTGTAACATTGCATCTGTTCTTTTACAAAAGAGAGATACTTTTTTCTTGCAAAATATTTTGTTTCTATGAAAATAATTAAACCCAAAATTGACGTTTAGAAGAAAATTGTTACCATTAAAGAAAGAACGAGCCATGTAATGCATTTAGCTAAAATAACCTACAACCATGATGTATTTTCTCGTAAGCTAAATGAATCTGTCCAATTTTCCTGTGCGAGCCCCTTTACCCATTTTGTAAATTTGTTAATCATTTCCCAGATATCAGGTTTACCAAGGAGACCTTGAGAAGCTTTGTTACGAAATAATGGATACTTATGCTTTGTGAAAACATATCAAATACTTACCATTACTAGGATTGGAGGAAGCCACACAGTCCTGCGCTGTGATTTATTTGAAAAAAGGAAAAAAATTGAGAAGGGACGACGCTCGGTCCCTTCGCCATAATCTGGAGCCAAATATTTTCCAGTCCGACGCTACCACTATATTATTATATCTATGAAACAAATAATTAACTCGTAGAAAGAACGACGCTCGGTCCCTAAACTATGACTCGAGCCAAATATTTTCCCGTGCGGCCTTACCAACCAGTTCATAGGAACATAGCTGTTACTCTTATTACTCCACGCAATCAAAACTAAACTAATAAATAAATTAACACGTGGGCTTTACTTTAGATCAAAAGAGAATGGAGCTTATCAACTTCTAGTGGATCATGGGAAGTTGAACGTTTACTGTCACATGACTAACCTGGACGGCTGCGGGGACGGTGGATGGACGATGGTAATGAAAATGGACGGCAACAAGGTATCTTGTCTCTCTTCAATATTATTCGTGAGTCAAATGTTGCAAAAAATTTCGAACGATTTTAATTTCGGACAAAAGTAGTGTCCGAAAATAAAACCGTCCGAAATTTTTACAGTATAGTATAAAACTTTAAAATTAACAAGCTTAAGATCCGACGACGGCAGACATCTGGGACGGCAGACTTGGTCGAGGGGGCTTGGAGAGAGATCGCAGTCGCAATGGCACGAAAAATAGGCTTAAGATAAAGCGCGCGACAGCGGCTTGACTCGCTTTCCTCTTCAAAGCTTAGGAAAAGCAATGGCTACCTATAGAAAGGTTCGTGGATTGTCGATCGTAAGCCTCGATGATGGTGACATTCAGAAGATGAATTTTTACTGTTGAATGATGCCAGCATTTCAATTAATCTCGATTATCCCTACCAGAATTCAAACATTTTGACTAAGAAGGACTCGACGGAAGTGAGTGCTTGGCAGAAATTCGTTACCGAAAAAGGGACATACCTATTCTCGCAGACGTAATGGGGCTACTTGATTCGTATACATGTGAACAAGGGGCTCTGTGCGATGGAATTGAATGCCCTTCACTTTTGTTGAGAAGTTGCGTCTCCAGTATTACACTGCCATTTAAAACTTTTCATTCAATAAAAATAATAAACAGCACTCTTTCATAAAATATACTCAAATAAATTTACGTGGTCGCTTTCACCGCTTGACTTGACATCTGTTGTGCGCAGGAAGGAATATGAGTTGGTGGGTTTTCGAATTTTATTTGTTTAGAAAACCGAACAGGGTGGTTTAAATCAAACGAAGAAGCGAATAAAAACTCCAACCGGCCATAGACTGTCTAAAAACTGACAATAAACCCGCACCTTTTGATGAGAAAAACTGCTTTGAAGTTTGGAAGTTCACGACGACGTGAAACAGGTCCTTCTCAAGTCGTCGACGACAAGACGACGACGGAATTCTTGGTTCGCGCTTACGTAGTGACGTTCTTGCTACTTCCGGTCGTCGTCCTCCGTTCGTCGTCGTGATTGCTTAAGCTCCCTATTACTATCTGGGCGACGTCATCACATAATCAACGCCAATATACATGATATGACTAGAATTCGGATTAGGCGGCTTTGCTCAGTCGTTCTTTTTATCACTGGAAAGGAAAATATTTTTTTCTTTTAAGAAACACAAAGAAAGACATGAAAGACAAAAACATCGATAAATTCCATTTTGCAGTTTATATTTTAATCTTCGACCCTAGCCCAGTTTTATGATAGTAATTCATCATCATCAATCAACACAATTGAAAGGTCCTCTTCATTGTCGCTAGCGTGTCGTTCTTCATCTGTAGCTGTCGGGGACCGAGGTGATAGATCAAGAAGCTCATAGTTCTTTTGAATAAGCTCTTAGAGACGAAGAAGAAGAAACCGCTTGCTATCTTCAATTTTAAACGTAGCTGGGAGGACTATCTCAAGCCCTCCCTTTGCAATTAGAGAAGGCCCGTATCTTTCATCCGCGACTGTTACATCGACGCTGCCACCGTGATGTAGAAAAAAGTACATAAAACGTGATATTTCTTGTGGAACGTGGCCCACAACATCAGCTACAAGTTTTTCTTTGCTCTTCATCATCCAGCCGACAGCGTGCTGATCAACAAGAAGTGCGTCTCCGTCTCCTTCTCTTTGGCCATACAATCTCTGACCTTTCTTTGGGTTTGGCCAGACAGTTTTACCATAGACATGCCAACCTCGGCTAGTGATCAGGTGCTTGAAGACAATTTCCATTTGTCTTTAAAGTTTGAATAATTCAAAATTCTTGAATCTCGCTCGTTTTAATGTCGTTAACGCCTGGCTGAATACATTCACAGACTAATTGCGAAATAACATTCTCTGAGGACGTTCCCCCCGTCTTTTCACGTCTTGGCGCAATTCACGACTGTGTCAGTAGGTTTGAGCGAACCTTATTTCCTATTGTTCGAAAGTTTTCCTTGATCAGTTTTATTTCAGAGATGCCTATTTTAAATTATTTTCAAAAGGCACCGAAAACCCCTCTACAAGCACCGACAGAAGATAGAATAGACGTTGTAAACCTCACTGCAAGAGAAACCGAAGAACTAACAAAAGAAATCACTGTGCTAGAAAACAAAAGTACAAAGCGAGGAAAATACATCAAGGGGTCAGCCGAGGAAAGAGCAGAAATAGGTCAGCATGCTGTAAGGCCTTCCGGTTAGCTCAATTGGTTGAGCGCCGTACTGTTGTGCGAGATGTCCAGGGTTCAAGCCCCGGCCAGACCAACACTCAAGGTTTTAAAATAACTTAGCCTGTGTACAGCCGCCACATCCCCTCGAAAAAGTCGGGGAGGGAGCGTCTGTGATTTACCGTGTGTGAGAATAACTTTGCATAAATTAAATAACTGGTTTCCGCTGACCAACATTTTCGTGGTTTATCTGAACTCATTCTGATTTTCAAAATGGCGTTCAATGTGACTACTTTTCATCGAGCAATTTAGAGTGTTTGCGACGTTTTCAAAATTGCTTCACTCTATACCGCGCAAGAAAAATGTCTCCAAGCCCTTTTTGAAGGAAAAGACGTGTATGCAAGTCTTCCCACTGGATACGGGAAATCATTAATCTTGTGGGGAACTAGTGAGGGGCCCACACTGTCACTGTTCTCTCCCAGAATTTATTTTCAAAACGCAGACAGAACAATATTATTATCTCATGAACACACCTTGATCAAAACGTAATTTGATTGGCTTTAAAGTTCTTCCAATAAAGATAAACAAACTGATTTATCGGAGCGGACAGATCGTGACACTCGATTTCCGGCAGATAATTTTGATCATTACAATACTAATTATCCTGTTTCCGACAATCTTTTATGCAGCCCCAATCGTCACCGATGAGCTGCTCTCCCATCCACGTGGCAGTAGTAAAATAATTATGATTTCACCGCTTCAAACGTGATAGTTGAACGAGGAGTAGCATTCGCTTTGACGAGTGACAGGAAAACGGAAGAAGAAGAGGATTTCGAGCTGATAGTCTTTAGGCTTTCGTACATTATGCTTTTGTTTCCTCACTAAAATGCTCCACCTTAATGCTCCGTTTTTCCCACTAAAATGCTCGGTCTCCCCTAAAAAAGTAACTAAAATGCTCGGATAATGCTCATTACACAAACATTTTTTTAAATTTATTTGAAAGTTTACACTTACGTACAAGTGTTGCAAGCAACGACAACGTATACAAGTTTATGTTTTCTTCGTGACCCGTGTAACTTACACGGGTCACGAAGAAAACAAACATGGCCGCCTTTTGAGTCTCGAAAAGTAAAACCGCTGACTTGTCCTCAGTCTCCAGCTCCACTCAGCTGTATTAGGTTTTTTCGTAAATTAAAAGCGGGACTGAAAAAAGTTAATTTCTATTTTATTTTCTCGCAAAATGAGAATTTTCCGGGAAAATGCCACTAAAATGCTCGAATAATGCTCAATGCTTTTGCCTCACTAAAATGCTCGAAAAAATGCTAGCATAATGTACAAAAGCCTAATAGTCTTTCAATCGTGGAGTTTACAATACAAAGATTCGTCAGAAGAGGGCTCACTGTACTTCGCGAAACGAAACCAAACGAAATCAAAACAAACCAAACCAAACCAAACAAAAACAAACGAAATCAAACCAAACCAAACCAAACCAAACCAAACCAAACGAAACCAAACGAAACCAAACCAAACAAAACGAAACCAACACAACGAAACCAAACAAAACGAAACCAAACAAAACGAAACCAAACGAAACCAAACAAAACGAAACCAAACAAAACGAAACCAAACAAAACGAAACCAAACAAAACGAAACCAAACAAAACGAAACCAAACAAAACGAAACAAAACAAAACGAAACCAAACAAAACGAAACCAAACAAAACGCAAGATATGATTCAATCTAAACAATTTTAAAAAACTTTATTTTTTTAATCGTTCTTACCCCGCTGGATCTCTGAAGAAACCTCTCTTCCGTACTCATCCCCTTTCCTGCCAAGGAAGAATGCGTGTCGCTTTCGATATCCGGTGACATGTTCTACTTTTGGCGAAAAACTTGTACGTGCTGCCAAGTCAAGGCAGCATGGCGTTAAACTTGCCATTGTTTGGGTTGCTTGAGCGTACGAAGAGAAGTTCGGCGTTTAATGATTTCCCTCAATTTTCCTGGAGTGATCTTACTGATAAGGAGGAGATCGGCCGAGGAAGTTTTGGGTGTGTGTTCACTGCGAAAAGAAGTGATGGAGAGTCAGTCGTTGTAAAGAAACTTCTCCGACAACACCCGGAGCGGGAGACACGTTTATTTTTGAAGGAAGCTCGAATCCTGAAATCGCTGCGCCACAAATATATCGTCGAAATGAAAGCTGTTTGTGAAAACCCTCTTGCCATGATGCTAGAGTATCTGCTTTTTGATTTTGCGCCTTTTGGCCTGGAAGGTCGGGTAAGCTCTCTGCAAGATTATTTAGATTACATTTCTACCAAGGAAGAAATAGTATCATCTTTCGCCTGTTTACACATCAAGATCGCAGAGGACACAGCTCTCGGTTTACAGTATTTGCACGATCAGAGCTTTTCTCACAGAGATTTGAAGCCAGGAATTGTGTTAATTTCTAATCAACATTACCATTTTGATGACGAGAGAGAAGTTGAAGAAGCTTGGGCCAGAAATCCAATTACATGCAAACTTGTTGACTTTGGAGGAAGCAGAGCAGCTTTATAGCAGACTGAGACAATGTGTCACACAAGAACCACAAACGTGGACCGAGGAACTATTGTTTATATGGCACCTGAGTTGTCCGCTTCCGAGGGTGAACCCATGTCTCTTGTTCAGTGAAAGGCTTATGATGTTTGGGCACTCGGTATGATAATTTTTTTGCTTTTAAATCCAGATTTAGAATGTCCCTATCTATATGAACTTGATCAGCTTCCGCAAAAAAAGCTTGACAGTTTAAAAAACGAGGTGGCCCGCAAATTAAGGAA